TTCGCTTTCCTTCTCCTCATCGTCATCTTTACCCCTTCCTCCCCCCCCACCCACCCCCCATTTTCTTTTTCCTTAACTTATCTTTTTCCCTAAATTCTTCAGCAGTAGGGAAGTGAGAGGAAGGACATGCTGCGGGCGCTGCGACCATCTAGACGCAGTTAGACCCATCTTTCCCCTCTACGACCCTCCTTTTCTGCTGACGTTACCTTACTTTCTACATACAATGCATTGCTAGAGACGTCGACCGGTTCTGACCTCTAGCATGCGCACTGCCGTTACTATCCAATATCCCCTTGAACTCTGAATCAATTGTTCATTCACTTTCGTTTCTGTCTCTACCCGTCCTCCCCTCCACCCCCCGCTCCTCCATTCGCTCATCCACCATGGAGGCCAACCCGATCCCCGATCCCCCGCCGGTTCCAGAAACCGATATACCCAGCATCAGCAAAGTGAATCGTACCAAGACCACTCCGGTTGATCTGGAGACAATGGGAAGTTCGTCCCGAAGCAATGGGCGTTCCTCAATCGACTCTACCTCCGACCGACCCAAGTCGCAAGCCGGCGAGGCTGATTCCGCCAAGGCAGGCTCCAGCGGATTTTCGAAGCTTTTGGCCGCTCGACGGAAGAAGAAGAAGGATAAGAACCAGAAGCAGTCCGATGAATCGTCCACCCAGCTGGAGACAGAGAGTAGCAAGGATGTCCAGGAGAGTCGTTCAACAGAGTCGCGCGACGGCCTTTCCACCACCTCATCAGTCGGCCACGAGAACCTGAGCCCCCCGGACCATGACACTGTCAACTTGCTGACGGACGATTCCGAACCTGACAGGTGAGTTCATGTGTCCCCATTCCATTGGTACGCCATTGGCGAGTCAAATTACATGTCTAACGTGGATTGACCCAAAGAACACCCCCTCTCACTTCTCACAACTCCCATGCTGGCTTTTACACCTCATCCTCCCCCCTTATAAGGACCACATCGGTAGACGAGACGGAAGAAGATGGTAAAGGCAACGCGGAAGCTGCCGCTCCCGAGTCGCAGCAGGAGACGGAGCGACCGCCGAGCCAACATGGCTCTTCATTAAACGTGCCATCGGACCGCGGAAAGAAACGGGGCATCTCGCCCGGACGTCGCTTCAAGAACGCCTTCGGCTCCAACCCGGATAAGAAAGCCTCTAACCGCGATCGAGCAGAATCTACTTCTAGCTCCAAAAGCAGTAGAAGAGGCAGCTTATCAGCCAAGAGAGCTCAGACTGTTGCTGAACCGCCCCCGCCTTTGCCAGCTCCCATTCGCACCGATCTCAAGGAAGACAAGCCTCTCCCTTCTCTAGAAATTCCCGCTCCGAGAACACCCCCGCATACCGCCATTCCGCACCCGCAGACCACCGTGACTCCTCCCACCCCGAATACCGAATTTCCTAGGCTTTTCACCTCGCCAGACGTGACTAGGTCGCCTGATTCTATCCACTCGAAAGATTCACCAGCCGGGATCATTGTCAGCCCTTCGGGAAATATGATCTCCCACCGGCGTGTGCGGTCCGCCTCCGCTGCGAGCCACAAGCCCAGCAAGCTGTCGAACTCCATATCCGCGATAGGACCGACGATTGAAGAGACCAAAGCGAGCGCAAAATCACCGGGCCCCATGCAAACCGGGTTCTTCTCATCCGTCTTCTCCGCCGCACAGAACGCAGCCTCGACCCTGAGCAGCAGTCTGAACTCTCAGTCAAAGGGTCGCAATGTTGCACAAGGAGGGTTGAATGAAGCTGAGAACCAGCCTTCTGCTGAGGGAGCGCCAGGCCCCAGCCAGCCCATCAACAATAAAGCAGAAGAGAAAAAGCCATTGGCCGTCGATACTCTGGGATCTGGAGACCTGGACTTTAGCCATCTGGATATCGCCATACCCCCGGGTGGTTCTGTCTCCACGCCGGATGGCGTTGTGATCACCAAACCAGACTTGCCCTTGGAGAAGCGCAAAGTATCGCAACGTGATGAAGAAGCAGCCAGACTTGAGGATAGTCGTGCAGCCCGAGCAGTCACAATGGCCTATGAAAAGCCATCGGAGACGTCGTTGGTTCCTTCGACAGATGACGGTCTCGACCTACAGTCCAGTGCTTCTTTTACGAAGGAGGGCGCTGGCGACCAAACTCCACCCAGTGGCAGTATACTCGATGGGGAGATTGGCCATACTCGGCCCTATCGAAGCGGAAGCGTGCGAAGCCGGCTTGCCCGGCGCCGGCACCGTGGGTCGTCAGCAGCAACTACATCGACGCTTGGTGCAATTGGTGCCAGTGCTATTGCCTTGGGTGCCCCGGCTGCCAATGCCAGCATGCCCCGCCTGACTGGCTTTGCTGTTGCCAGTAAAAAGCGAAACAGGGACTTCCATCAACTGTTCCGCAGTGTACCCGAAGACGATTACCTGATTGAGGACTACAGCTGTGCCTTGCAACGAGAGATCATCCTAGCTGGTCGAATCTACATTTCGGAAGGCCACATCTGCTTTTCCAGTAATATCCTGGGCTGGGTGACCACCCTCGTAATCAGCTTTGACGAAGTCGTGGCGATAGAAAAGGAGTCCACTGCGATGGTGTTCCCGAACGCCATAGCTATCCAGACGCTACATGCTCGGCATACGTTCCGCAGTCTTCTTAGTCGAGAGTCTACCTATGATCTCATGGTTAACATCTGGAAAATCAACCACCCTTCTCTCAAGAGTTCTGCCAATGGAACCAGGGTCACGGACGGCACAGGAGACAAGACCGAGAAGGCCGGTGAAAGTGATGATGAGAGTGAGGAAGAAGATGAGATCTACGATGAGGATGAAGAAGGCGACAATGCTGATAGCCTCTTCGAAGCTGCCGGCGCCAGCGTCAACGGGAGTGACAAGTCCATGCCTACCAAGCCTGTTAGCCGCAAGGCATCGGGCGCTCTTGCCAATGCCAATGGGGCTGGGCAGGCCGGAGCCAACTCCAGCGGTGATGGAAAAGGCAGCAAGTCTGGCTCACCCGCTGATGGTGACACTGACTTCCCTGGCCCGCCAACTCATCCTCCCACCGAGTATACTGATCCTGCAGGCCAGTACGATAAGGTGGTCAAGGATGATGTGATCCCAGCGCCTCTCGGAAAAGTCTACTCTTACGTGTTCGGAGCGCAATCTGGTGCGTTCATGACGAAGTTCCTTGTCGAAAATCAAAAATCGGGAGAGCTCCAATTTGAAACTGGAAACAAGGGTCTCACCAACGACAGCCGCACACGGAATTATTCGTATATCAAGCCACTGAACGGATCCATTGGTCCCAAGCAGACAAAATGTATCAGTACTGAAACGCTGGATTTCCTTGACTTGGAAAAGGCCGTACTTGTTACCCTGGGCACCCAGACACCCGACGTCCCCAGCGGTAATGTTTTCTTGACCAAGACCAAGTACCTCTTCACATGGGCGCCGAACAATCAGACACGATTCCTCATGACATGTACCATCGAGTGGTCGGGAAAGAGTTGGCTCAAGGGTAGGTCCACTGCGTCAAATGCCCCACTACAGCTATGCTAACAGAAAGCAGGTCCCATTGAAAAGGGTGCGATTGACGGTCAAACTGCGTTTGGAAATGACTTGGTTGCCGCCCTCAAAGCTGCTGTTGTTCCTCGTGGCCGCACGGGTGGCGGTAAAGGCAAGGGTAAGGGACGACGCAAGAAGAGCGAGGTCGCTCAGGAGGCAGCGGCTGCTGCTGCCAAAGCAGCGGAGGAGGAACGAGCACAGCAGGCGAATTCCTGGGGAGTTTTGGAGCCGATCCATGGAGTGCTTGGACCTGTTGTGGACACGGTCAAGCCTCTTTTGAGCGGAAACGTCGCCATTGTACTAGTCGGCATTCTGCTCTTCTTGCTCTTCTTCCGACGCCCGTCCCAGCCATCCGTGGTATCCCACGACATCGGATGCCCTGGTTACTCTTTACCCCAGCGTCTGGCCGCGTATGAGGAAATGTGGCGGCGGGAAGAAAGCGAGCTCTGGAGCTGGCTAGAAGACAGGGTTGGGATGGACGGACTAGCCATACCCACCGTTAGTCGGTCGACGGGCTCTCGGACTCAGCAATACTCTCGCAAAGTCCAGAGCGAACGTGCGCTGGCCAGCAAAGTCAGCGAAGAAAAAATGTCCGACCTCGAGATGGACCATGCTATTCGCACTACGCGTGAAAGGCTCGACACTCTCGAGAAGATCCTCCTCGACCGACGATCCCAGCCTGCAGCGGACCAAGCAGTCGTCCACAGCGAGCTGTAAGGCCGAAGCAAAAAAGTAACAACCCCATCTCTACACACATGGAGAACCAGGTAAAGCATCAAGCTATATTCACATTGTATGGTGACATCAGCATCCCATACGTCCCTCGTTACCACCATTTTCGTTTTTTTTTTTTTCTTTTTCTATCTTCCTTCCTCGTCTTGTCAGCGAGTTGCGGTGTTTAGGGCGGTTACATTCTCCCCTTTCACGGTATTCCTTCTCATCATACAGTCGGATTCAAAATTCGAGCATCAATCTGGGATTTGTATGCTTAGTTTTTAAAGTATCCTGAGCGAGACATTTGTTTATTCTATCTATTCAGTCACTCACTCTTTCTCTTTTTGTTATTTCCTCTTTTTTTTTCATGTCTCTATATACATATTCCTCCCCGGTCTGAACTGTGTGTGATTACTACTTTACTTAGCTCTGTGGGAAAAGAAGAGCACTTTGTACATGAGCACCAACTATCTACATGTCTATATAAATATTATTTCGAGTCATACTTTCTGATTTCACGATCGGTGATGGGGGTGGGTAGGATTGTCATTCAGTATATTAGGTTTATGGTGTAATAGTAAGACTACTAAATTCAACCAAATATGTCAAGTAGTATGTATGAATATCATCAGAAAGAGCACCTCTCGTCTTGTTAATACTGCAATGTATATATGCACATCAAGCGAGTATCGCAGAGTACGTAGCCAAATGTCTGTTAAATGGCAGAAACATAGCTAGGAAGAGCAAGCAAGCAAGCAATCTGCTCGTAATATTATATACACTTGACATATATATAAATATGATAGTAGTACAAAACGCCATCCATCAAATCATCTATTGACGAAATCGAACCGAACATCGTGTTTTTGTTCGGTGGAAGCAGATATATAAACAGAAATAAAAGGGCAAGAGCAATAAGGGTGCTGGGGATATCATTGATAATAACTAACATATATGGGGTCATCGTAAAGGTCGTGAAACGTGCAAGCAAACAAGATGGATGTGCGTGTGCTTCTGAACTGAATAGCGTCTTATGATTCATACTCGTCTTCTCTCGGCTGTGAAAGTGACAGCTTTCGCTGGGAAGAGATAGAATGGGAACGTGACACGCCGCTATTCTCAGCGTTGCGTCTCTCTTCTTCTTTCCGCTTCTTCTTTCGGATCTTCTTCATTGCTTCTTCGGTTAATTGCTGACGGAAGAGACGCTCGACGACGTCTTTCTTGCGAGTCATGCGGTCGCCGATCATGATGAGGACACCGCCGGTGATGTTACAGCAGATAGAGCAGCAGAGGATGACGGTGGTTAGGGCGAAGGGGCGGACGTGGTAGCTGATGGCCCAAGTGCAGGTGCCTAGGGCGATTTGGAATAGGGAGTGGCAGTCGAGAAGGACGACGATGGCGATGAGGAGGCGCATGGGGAAGGCGTAGTGGGTGAAGGTTTCGTGGGGCTTGTAGAAGGTGTGGGATTTAGAGAGCTTGTTTTGATGGTGGATGAGCTTTAGTTGTCTCACGGGATCGAGGACGGTGAATTCGTATTCTTCACCCTTCGGGGTGTCGCCGAGTTCGACGTCGACATCTGTTTCTCGTCGTGATGGAAGGTCGTTCTTGTTCTTGAGATCGGGAAGGTGTCGTTTGCGCCGGATCTTCCATGTCAGGAACGTGTATCGAGCTACGAAGATCATGTGGTAGGTGTCGATGGCTCTGAACGGGGCCAGCCCGTCACCCATGATTGCAAATAGTGCGACAAGGACGTTGTCGATGACGTTAATAATGTAGGACTGCCTGCCTCCGACGTTGATCCAGCCTGATAATGGGTTAGTGTCCTGCTCGATGATTCGCTGGGTGAATTGCAGTCACGTACCAATGAGGAAGAGTACCCAGGCAAGACCAAAAAGTGTGATGAGTGTGGCATATAGAGTAACCAGAAATCCAAGAGCTGCGGGAAGAACGTCAGCAGCTAATATTGAGGGTTGAAAACGTCGTCACTCACGCTTTGATACATATTTTCTAAACCCCTTCATCGAACGCTTGAACTTTGATCGTCGGGAATGCAGCATGTGCCGGACATGGTCATTAAGCTCTTCGATTTCTTCCGGGCTCCAGCCCGCAAGGTTGCTCCCCTCAGGCAGCACAGCAAACCGAGGCTCCTCCCCCTCGCCGATAACAGACGTAAGGGTATGCTCCACAGATGGACGAACTTCAGGCTCCTTTATCTCATCCGCTCGTTCCTCGTCACTTGTTGATTCCAGTTCTCTCATAGGCGATGGCGGTGAGAGCGTATAAGTCTGGTTGCGATTCAACAAAGGCCCTAGATTAGGGATGAACAACGAATTCTGAACATTCGTAAGGGTAGATAAGGCCGACACTTCCGGATCTGGAATATATTAGGCTACTATACCACGAAACCATTTGGTATGGTGGATAGCTTACCGATGACGTCCAGGACATCAACAATATGAGAGCGATATTCGTCGTCCACCTCATGGTTTTGAGCCGGGACACTTCCACTGACCGTCGACGCGCGATTGCGCGTGAACCGGTTTCCACCCACTCCACTTGCCCATCGCATGGGGGTTCGACTCCCCCGTCTCGGTATCTCTGGTAGCGGAGGGACATCCTCCGGCATTCGTTGGTTTGATGTGGAGGAAACGATCGGGCTCGACGCCTCCTCTTGCACCGGGCGCATCTGACCGCCCGTGGTCACCCGTGCCAGAGCAGCCGGGTTGGGCGTAGACCATCGCCCAGGTCGGGGCTCCGAGTTGCTGCGACGGCGGTTGCCCTGCCATGACTCGTCTTCAGCGGAAGCTGCTGGGATGGAAGGAAGAGGGGACAGAGCGACACCAGCAGTTCTGCTGGTATCGCCATTTTGTTGCGATGGCTGTGACCGGGGTGTGGACAAAGTCGCCTGTTCAAACGAGGGCAGGCGTTGGAGGCGAATGGACGGGCGGCGAGAACGCAGCGAGGCCGCACGTTGTCGGGGGTATGACGTCGGTCCGGGGGAGGGCGTGGCCGACGGTGGCTGGCCTTCGTGGGGATCGGGCGAGCCGTTGACGGGCTCGATGGGGTCCATTGAAGACGGCGTGCACGAAGAATCTCACATGGACGATGAGGTTTTCTCGAAGGGAGGGAAAGGAAAGGAAAGGAAAGGTAAAAATATTCAAGAGGCGAAGGATGGAAAGTGAAAACGAAAGGGGCCGCAAAGGCTAATTTATTCATTGGAGGATGGGATTTGCTGCCAGGAAAGGAAGCTGCCGTGGTTACGTCGTGACTAAGCCAGTCAGCATCACCAAAGTTAGTTTCCAAGTGGATTCGTCGATCCTCCAAGGCTTGTCGGGGGTCTTTCTTTGTTCCTCCAGTGGAAGAAACTTGCAGCTGTGCGCTGTTCTTTCACATCTTGGTTTATGCATCGGTGTATATATTAACCTGAATTTTAATTCTGTGAGCTGCAATTCTCTGAAGCACAAAGATAGTAATCAATTAGTCAGTTCACCAACTTCAATGGCACCGTCCAGTCCAACTGCGGTCTAGCCCCCCGTGGACTGCCTTGGGCAACAACCGTGCGTCTCCCATTGCTGGATCCCCAATCGTCAACTCTTTGGGCCCTCTCGTAATCCTCCACTACTACTGAATCACAAAGAATTTCATAATCTGGCCTTGTTGCATGAGTATCGATGCTATATACAAATCGTATATTCATTCAATACTCTACCCCTGCAATAACCTTCAATTCTCAAAAATCAACAGAAGTTTAATCTGACTCGACAGAAATATATACTATATCCCCACCCCAAAGACCCGGCTCCGCTTAGTGCCCAACCATAGCCTGTTGACGCTCATTATATCTATTTCCCTGCGGCTTGGCGGCATCAATGATTTTGCGCATCTCGGCTTTCTCCTCATCAGTCAGGTCGATATCCCGAGAAGCCCAGTTTTGCTCCAACCGGTGCGCCTTGGTTGTGCCGGGAATTGCAATCATGCCTTGAGCAGCAACCCACGCCAGGGCCACTTGGCTGATCGAACAGCCTCTCTTGCTTGCGATTTTCTTGATCTCATCCACGATCTTCTTGTTGGCGTAGAAGTTTTCACCTTGGAACTTGGGGACTATCCACGTTTAGTAGGCATATAACTAAGAAGTAATCCTGAATGGGCAAGGCAACTTACAACCGCGACGGGAATCGTCAGGCGCAAAGTCTTCGGGCGTCTTGAAGGGAAAGTCGTCCACAAGCCAGCCGTGTCCCAGAGGACTGTAGGCCACATACGCCACACCCAGCTCCTTGACGGTGTCGATCAGACCGTCCGTCTCGTGCAGGGTCTCAAAGGCTGAGTATTCGGCTTGGACGGCGTCGATTTTGGCAACTGGGAAAAGTTAGACATTGAACAGTGATAGAAGTCAGACAGTAAAACTAACTGGAGTTGGCTTTGCGCAGAGTTGCAGCAGAGCATTCTGAAAGACCGATGTACTTGGTCTTGCCTGCCTTGCGGATCTCATCCAGAGCCGGGATGGACTCCTCGAGAGGGGTGTCTGTCTTGGTCAGCCAGTCTGGAAGAGGACATGGGTACATTTTACGTACTAGGATCGATACGGTGGAGGTAATACAGGTCAGGTGTGAACCCTAGTCGTTCAATAGTTCCTTCAATGTATTCCTTGATATGTGAGGCGGAGTTGGTGACGGTAAAGCTTTCGACATTGAACCCGCACTTGGAGGCAACTGCATTGGGTCAGTGCCAGATTGTATTACTGGGTGACACATGTACATACTGAAGATCTTGTCGCGCACATTGTGCTTGCGAATGAAATCTCCCAAAAGTTTTTCGTTCACACCCGCTTGGTAAATAACCTGAGTCCATGGGTTAGTCTTTCACATCTTACTCAAGGAGTTGATCGGCTAAACTCACAGCAGTATCCCAGAAAGTGCAGCCAAGCTCGATAGCTTTCAGCAGAACGGGCTCTGCTTCTTCAAGACTGAGGTTGGAGCCCAAGCCGAAGCTGAGGCCCATGGCACCAAAGCCGGGTGACGGGACCTGGATGTCTTGGAAGGGAAGTGTCTTGACCATGTTGACGAATGATGTTGGTAGTGTTGATTGTTCTAATTGTGTGTGAATCTTGAAAATCTGAAAATGTTTGCAGGTAGGACTGGAAGCAGTTCTTATAGGAACAGCTGTAGGGTTATGACATCGCCCATGGCTCTGCTTCCGGGTGGATCCTGGACAGTCCGGCACGGGCTCGGAATGGACCCTTTCTTTTGCCGAGTATCCATTGTAGCAATTGATTTGCAGCTTGGGATTCGAGTTTCCACTGCTTTGTGAAGTTGTAACTTCTCGCCTCCAGTGTAGTCTCACACTATGGTACCACAGGTCGCCTATGCGGGCAGCTTACACGCTAGCCGTGATGACCGCTTAACTCCCCCAATATCCGTTAACTCCGACAGAACCGAGAATATGTCCATATTTTTAGGAGAGTGAACCACCCAGCTTTAAGATCATGATGGAGATTAAGGAATTGAAACATATTTCAAAAGCATGCTAAACCTCTTTCTGGTTCAGCGCATATGCAAGGGTCAGCATTTAGTTTCCACTCTAGTGCCGATGCGGGGTCCAGTTCCGTTCTTATCCACTAATGTTAGAGTGGCAACTCTCATTCCGACGGAGATTTAGGTAAGTCCTATAGTTTTGACTGCAGTTCTGCGAATACATAATGAGCTAGCCGCCCTATGACGAACGTAGATATTTCCGAGTATCCTATGAGGGCTTCAGCTTACCAGGCCGTGATTCTTTCTGTACGCATCAAGTTTTGAAAATCACTACAGCGTCTGAAACGAACATTCCTCGGCCAGCAATTATAGCGTGGTGGATGTCAGGATTCAGGTTCGATCTGTGAACCCACCCAACAGTGTATCCGGGGACCGAAGAAGGGCTTCATATATTCTCGAAAGAGCCGAGTGGTGCACTTGGAAGCTATAACATTCTTCATCAGCGAGTCTTCTATCTTGGTCAGAGATTTGACAGAGAACGCCATCCCACACATGTCTGCACTATACTATGTGGGCACTAGCCAAATTGATGTCAACGCTTGATGCGGCCACTTATTCCTCCAAGGGGCCGCACATAACGGAACCCTCTAGACTTGGATAATTATCGCTGTGTTTCAATCAATGTCCACAGCGTTGAGCAAAGAGTTTTGCTTGTTGCAGGGAGCTTAGATTCCATAATCAATTGATCTAATAGCAATGCAGAAACGTGTGTTGTCTCTTCAGAGTTACCTTTGTTGGAACGAGATAAGGAAAGTGAGTATATTGAGGAGTTACTTGCTCGAATATCTTTCAAAGTGCGCTGCGGCCGGCCCCGTGACTCTTCTTGAGCACGTGGTAAGGCACACATTCCCCCCATGAGTGCTAACCAAGGTTGGCTTGGATAGTGACCTGATCTGTACACTTACAATTGAACATTTACGCTCGTTTTCTCGTTCCCGACGCGGATCTCCTGTGTGTTCCCATCGGAGATTATGAGGGGGTCAATTCCAAAAAGGACTGTCTCCGTTCATTGGATCTACTTTGTATAATCCTAGGCAGGTTTATACAATTAGGCCGCTGCAAGATCAGCATCGCATTTATAGTGCAGAAGAAGACGTTCTAGTGGACAACGCACAGCATCGATGGCTGAAGACATCCCTACAACCAGACTCCAAGCTGTCGCACAGCTACCTAACCATGTCACCTAATCAACAAGTGTCCGACCCGCTACTCTATATCAGCAATAATCTGTCGCAGTTCACTGATCTTCTCTGCCTCTGCAGGGTACTGACAATACTGTCTTTCCTAGAGACATCCACTAACAATCCTCTGTTAATGTCCAGCGTTAAATTTCTCTACGACCTGACCGCTCACAGGACTTTTTGCCAACATCTACAGTAACTCGCTGAGAATCTGGACGAAAAATATATATATATCAATGAGTAGAAATACGTGGACATGTTTTCTCGGCCTTCATTGAAGGCGCTCTTGTTATATGGGTAATATGGGTACTATAGTGCCCAAGTTCGGAAAATTGGGCAGTAGTAGAACTAAACTGCCACCAGTGAAGGTGTATAGACGTTCTATTAATATATCAAGGTAGACCCACACTCGGTCTCGTAATCAACAAAAAGAAATTATCTTCGAGGCCAACGAATGAAACAACGGCAGAAGCAAATATGCGGACAGCTGCCGATAAGCACACTATCTTGAACGCTAACCTAATCACAAGCAGGTAATACCTATGTTGTCGGATACGAAGATCGAATCTCAACTCTATCGTAATTTAATTTCTATTGTATGATTTCACTACTCGCCACCGCAATCCCTAGCGATGAATCTTGTCTTGAGAATTGATCTGTCGTTCCATTCAGTCTTCACTGGTAAATCGAAGACAAGAGGCGGGTTTGAAGTCCGCTGAGTTGTGGCAACCAGAAGAGAGATTGGTTCTTACTAGGGCAGGGAAGTATAAGACTGCAGTGTAACTGGGACGTTATGATATAGAAATGAGATATTACTACCGGATTTGTTGAAAGGATCCGAACAGTGAGAGGGGTAAAGAGGGGAAATTGAAACTAAAGGTTGCATGTTGGCAGGCAGTACCAAATAAATCGCCCAAACATCCTGACAAGTGAAGAGGTTACTGCCAAAAATTATTTAATTAGTATGATGGTATGATAAGTCAAAACAAATGATCACCCAAGATAGGATACCCAGTGTTGATGTATGTTCGCATTGCGCGCAAAAATATATAACCCCTACTCACCAAAATACAGGTCGCTAAGACTTCAAGGCCAATAATGGAACTTCCCGGGCAGTTGCAGGTAAGAACATCATGGGGATTGTTTGGGATTGGGCGGGAATCGGGCGATTTCGTGGAACGGAAATAGATTGGTTGAAGGGTGATTGACGGGGTGCGTCATGTGCTTGATGTCTCGGCTGCAGGGGGGAAAATCGGGTTTGCAGGATGCATACAGGAGTGACAGACGACAATTCTGCAGTTGATTGATCGAGCTTTCACAGACCCTATGTTTGAGCTACAATAAAAAAAGAAAATGGGTGGTGACAGTCAAGGAATTGAAGCCTCAATTGGGTGAAATATTGCCGGTACTACTACGACCATCATCAACAAACAGGGGAGCAACTGATTGGGACGAAGGGGGAACTGCCGGGTGGAAATGGATGGAGTGGCGATGACGGGAGAGGGCGATCTGGCCAGATACAAGTTGGTTGGCAAGTGGGGATGGGGCTCGCGGGCAGCCTGACTAATGCTAAGGATGAACTGGCGACTGCAGGTCAGTTAGTTAGTTAGTCAGTAATGATACCATTGTGTTGTAAATTTTGAGGAGGTGTATTCCCTACAAATCATTGTCATTGTTTTGTTTTTTTGGGAGTGTCGTATTTCACGTGGGAGGGAAGTTGTTCAGGAAGCAACGATGTTTCTCCCCAACAACCACTAGTGTTAATCGAAGAAGGTTCATGAAGGAGTGAGTCAACAACCGGTGATGTCAGATCCCCTGCAAAGGGCTCCAGCTGCTCCATCGCGTCTAAACTGCTCCAGGGAAGGTGCCTGAGGGCCGCCCAGACCGCCGGACGGAAAGTCCACGTCGGGCACCCCAATGCAGTCTAGCGTCGTACGGAACTGGTACGGCTGGCCAGCTCCAAGGCATCTTCAGGCAGATCTGGGCTGATCCAGGCATCTTCAGGCAGCAACCTGCCCCCTTCGGCATAGGCCCGCCACCGCCCTCGCTGCCTGCCCTTTTTCTCTCACCTTCTCCTTTCCCCCCCCCCCGTCGACTTCATCCTTCCTCTCAAGGTAAATCTTCATCAGTTTCAATACCAGATTTCCCCCAAGTCAACTCTCGTATCTAGGGCACCAAGCTACCCTTTTCCTCCTATCTCCCCCCCTCTTCAAGCTATTCCCATTCCCATTTGCTTCCCAAGGAATTTCAAGTACAGGCAGCCTTTAGCTACTCCTGAGTCCTTGTCTTAACCGCACACAAACCCGGTCAAGACTTCCCCGCGCGCAACTCAAACCACCGTTCAATTCTCTCCACGCTCAACTCCGTTGCGTCCTCAGCCATCAAGATGTCTACTGCCGTCGAGAACACTACCGACAACGTCGCCTCTGCTCCCGCCACTACCGCCCCCGAGGCTACTACCAACGGCACTGCTCCCGCCCCTGCGCAGTCCACGGACGCTGCCGCTGCCAGTGCCGATGAAGGACGTCGGTTGTACATTGGGAACCTCGCTTATGCGACCACTGAGGGGGAGCTGAAGGAGTTTTTCAAGAACTACAAGATGTAAGTCTTTCGAGTTACTTTGCTTTGTTATTGTTCCACCTGGCCTTTCACCTCCCGGTTGGTCTAAGCTCCGTTAGGCTGGTCCAAGCGATTCGGGGGGCCGGCGAGAGCCACGTTTCCTACACCCCTTGCTGCCATCCGACGGTAATACCGCGCAGCAGTGGTATGTGACTACTACTGCAGGCACGCCAATTCTTCAGAGCTCCATCTCTGAAACCCCCTTGATTATTTACATTCTTATGCGGGAAGTAACACCGAATCTAACAATGCCTCTTTCACAGTGAGAGCGTCTCCATCCCCGTGAACCCTCGCACCAACCGTCCCGTTGGCTACGCCTTCGTGGACCTCGCCACTGCCCAGGAGGCCACCGCTGCTATTGAGGAGCTGTCTGGAAAGGAGATCCTCCAGCGCAAGGTCTCTGTGCAGCTTGCCCGCAAGCCCGAGCCCGCCGAGGCCAAGGCCGAGGGTGCTACAAGTGGCGGTGAGGGTGCCAGCGGTAACGAGGGTCGCAAGAGGGCTGGTGGCCGTGGCCGTGGCCGCGGTCGCGGTCGTGGTCGTGGAGGCCGTCTGCCCCGTGCTGGTCGCTCTGTAAGTGACTCGTCAATTATTTTCCCATCCAATTGAATGCTAATATCCCATGTAGCAGGCCCCAGTTCAGAACGGTCAGGAGGCTGCCGAGCCCACCAACGTTCCCGGTCAGGCTGCTCCTCTGACTGAGGTCACCAACCAGAACGAGACCGCTGCTGCTGCCGAGTCCAAGCAGGCCGGTAAGCCCCGTGCTCCTCGTCCCCAGAAGCAGCGCGGTCCTCCCGAGGATGGTATTCCTTCCAAGACCAAGGTCATGGTCGCTAACCTTCCTTATGACCTGACCGAAGACAAGGTACGGACGATGAAGTCACAAAACACAGCAACATGCTAATTTCCCCACAGCTCAAGGAGATTTTTGCCGACTACCAGCCCGTCTCTGCCAAGATTGCTCTTCGTCCCATTCCCCGTTTCATGATCAAGAAGCTCCAGGCTCGCAACGAGCGCCGTAAGGGCCGTGGTTTCGGTTTCGTCACCCTGGGCTCCGAGGAGCTCCAGAACAAGGCTGTTCAGGAGATGAACGGCAAGGAGATTGAGGGTCGTGAAATCGCCGTCAAGGTCGCCATCGACAGCCCCGGCAAGGAGGACGACGCTATCGCCCCTGCTGAGGCCGAGACTACTGAGCAGGCGACCGAAACTCCGGCTCAGGAGAACGCTGCTCCCGCTGCTGCTTAAATGACAATCTCGTTCCCCACCTGAACGAACACACCCCCGTGGAAACTCGGGGGATCGATTGGAGGAGGTGAAGTCGGGACCCGTCATCTGCATGGTTTTTCATAGTGGGCGTCGGCAGGAGGCCAATTTCTTTTCCGCATGGGGAGAAAGGCGCAAGAGCAGAAAGGAAAAGTTCTAAAGCCGAAAACCTTTGACTATTCTTCCTATTTGATCTGGTCCTAGGGGGTTCATTATATGTTATATCCGGATACCCGAAAGGGATTCGTTGTTGGAGATGAAAATGCCGTAATGTGATTGTCTGACGGAACCTGACCTTTGCTCACGAATCTTGCCATTCTGCCACACTGTATCTTAGCAATATTTATTTAGCTTATGATTAGCCGCAAGGCTGGCCTTGTAGTATTTGTGCATGTGTTTGTCGTAGTATTTTCCACGCCCGTACTCAGTCATGAATATCCAATCCATTCCTCGCTTCATTTTACTTGATAGTTTCTCACTAGATACCCTGGATTCTGTAGATCTAACTAAACACCGTAGTAACAGAACACATCGCGTATGCCACCTCCCCGCATTAAAGTCATTAGTCAAGTAATACTAGAATGTAAACCCAGCCTGGATTAGCACCGCCAATGTGGGAGAGGAAAGGAATGTTAATTAATCAATGACACAGCGATCAATACGGAGATTCCCCAGTCTCTATCACTAGTTAGTTCAGTTCTAGTTGCTACTAGTATGGTACCGGATTTGAAAATATACTATATTACTTCAGTTACCAGTACTGCCAGATCTGTAGTTTCTATTGGTTTTAGTAGATGTGGTATTACTGCTGTAGCGCTGTGGGATCTTTGGATTGATTGATTGATTGATTGGTTATGGGAGTAGGAATTGGAGATTCTCGTATATTAGATTCGTTTATCTATTGTTTGGTTAGTCAGTAGTAGTTCGGATGTCTGGGTAGGGCACTACGGGTCAGTACCTAGTAATTGATAGGATGGTTGTATGGATGAGGTCTCTCTCTCTCTCTCTCTCTCTCTGGTCTTTATTTTGTTGCAATTGGATCACTGACGCAACATAGTGGTTAAAGATCAGGATGGATAGAGGAAAGGGTTGAGGATGGAGATGTCGTGAAGGGCAGATACTTAGCAGGCAGTACTACCACCTTTCTTAATGAGATCGAGATTGTTCGAATGGCATACTAGGTGCAGTGGAGTTGGGAATTAGAGTCTGTCAGGTATTATACATCATGTCTTGACTATGAAGAAGAAGAAGAAGAAGAAGAAGAAGAAGAAGAAGATTCCCTTTCAATAGCCTGTAGCTGAGAATAGATAGAAACCGCCTGATCGTATGTCTCATGCGAGGTCCAGCCATCCCTGCTTAGGATTCCGGACATCGCGTCCCAGAAATCCTGTACTTCGTTCCATCCTTCGCTGTCTTGGTGGTGTTGGTGGATTTCGGAGGGGGTGAAGGTGATGGGGCATTCTTTTGTGGGGTGTTTCAAGGAAGTCCAGGTTCTTCGGATGTGGTTTAGTATTGTGTGAGTAGTATGTGGGGGATATGGCGACACTTACTTCTGGATCCGAATTAATGGTTCCCGTAGTGGTAAGATATCTCCATCCCATGTATTTCCTACGAAGTGGATCGGATGGGTTAGTATCTTGCCGTTTGGGTAGCGGAGGACTTTGTCGAGGAGTGGGTTTTTCTTCGCGGTGTTATTCTCGTAGAGGTATAGTAGAATTGATTTAAAGATCTTTTCTCTGAGGTCTCTTTGGGTATCTTCATCCAGGTGCTTGAAGTTCTTAGGTGGTTTGAGGATGATTTCTCCGTTGTAGTCGAGGAACTGCGGATGACAGCCTTCGAGGAATAATGGGCCTGTCCAGGTGCTTTGCCAGTCTATGATACTGGTGATGTGGCCGGTGTCATCGACGAAGATGTTAGGGGTGCGGAGGTCCGTGTGCCATAGGAATGACTCTTTGATGTCTTTGTCGTGTGGGATTAGGTGGGGAGAGACGGTTAGGTATTTTCGGAGAAGGGAGATGTGTTCTGCGGGATTATTTTGACTGTGGGAGGTGAATAAAGGATCGTTTGGTGAGCATGGTTTTACGTGTTTAGCAATCCAGGAGGCTTCTCGATTGGCGAGGGCTTGTATGTAATCGAGTGCGGAAGTCCCTGTTCTGATTAATAGGGGAGACCATATTTGAGAAACCGGCAGGAGACGTACATGGCCCACGATCAATATCCATGTTTTCTCTTCCATTGCTCCAAAAGGTTGGATCTACAACTGGTCCGATGGAAAACTTCTCGGAAATATTCTGCCTGACTTCAGGTGGATAGTTGTCTCCGACAACAATTGCAGGCTGAGATCCAGGGGGTGCGTCTGTCTTGTAGAAAAGACAACCGTGTCTGATAAAGTTAGAAGACATACAAAAGTTGGTTCCTTGATGATGGGTATACAAACACAGAGAATCTCAAGGATAGCAGCTTCTGTTGGATGCTTACTAGATCCTCCATCGTCTGGACCTTATGCTCAAGGTCCATGTCCGTCCAAGCGTCTGCAAGATTGCTTCCGGGTGCATGTTCCATGATAATATACTAGGCACCTACACTGTTCGTAGAATCGACAGCCGAACTCCACGCGAGGACTTTGGGAACTGGAATGTGTAGTATGGTCCTCAACTAGAATCCAAGTCAGACAAATAGCATGAAAGGGCAAATTGGCAAGATCAATAGGTGAAAGAAACTCACAAAATCCATTGTAGCAACCTCGGAAGCAGTCGTCAGATATGCCGGTCCAGCATTCGGATTTGGTATCCGAGCGATAACCGTCTTCCCATTGTCCATAGTAAGCTTGAAAGACTTGTTATATGATCCTTCCCCTATTTTTCCCATAATGAGACATGATTTAGAACATGACGCTTGTATGGCAATATTCTGCAGTTCAAGGATGTTGAATTCACGGTATCTCTCTTGGAGCTGTTGCTGTTCATCCCAGAGCCATCGTCCACTGGTATATCGGAAGAAGTCTTTGGGGTTTCCGATGATATTAGACAGAGGAGGTTGGTAGTGATGTTGATTGGAATAACGTCGGCTCGAGAGGGGTGCTGGAATTGTCTTTCTCGGCCATATTGCTAGGGTATTCCGGATCGCCTTGAATGGGGGCGAATATATGCGCATGTTTATCACAAGCGGTTATATGATTAAATTGAAGTAGGAGAGAACAAGGGCGTAACATAAACATTCTCGATTTGAGTGATCGGGGCATTAGTCATCCATTCAATGCATGGTGTGATGAATACTTTCTGATTCGTATACAGCAGGTTGATAGTCAGGTGTATCTGTACGTGGATTGTTTTGATCATATCCTAGTGTACTCATTGAATTAGAGGCGCATCAGTTTCAGATTGATTACGATTATAAGAGAATTATTTTCGTCAAGATCTCGGTATATTGGTATGTTGTAAGTATAATAACTATATAGCAGCTCTACATGCTATGAAGCTGAAATAACTTCTGAGTATACTCTACCTCCATGAATTGTCCCACCCAGCCTGCTCGACAACAAACGCAATAGCCAGTTCGGAGAACCGAGCCATGTGCTGGCAAATCGTCAGCAAGATAAGGACAGGGGAAATGCGGTCAACTTACTTCGATAGAGAAGACGCCCGTTTCATCGTCAACGTCCATCCTATCCTTGATGCCGTGAACATAGGGGTCCATTTCACCCGGGAAAGAACCCCCAGCGAGCGGGTTGCCTTCAGAGGCAAAGGCAGCGGGGTAGTTGAGCTTGGTGTAGGACATGTAGTCGGATCCAGCGTTGCTAATAAATCATTTAGTACCTGGCGTGTCTCTGGGGAAACTTTGGGGTCTTACGGGCCAAGTTCATAGACTTCCGCTGGAATGGAAATGTATTCTCGACTGAGATTGACCGTCCAGTTTGTGAGCGCTGCATCGGCTTGGGTTGCAACAAAGCCGATGGTCTCGGTGGCATTACGGGCAATAAAAGCCGTCATATCCTTTGCAGATGTTAGTATTGCAAAATGGAAGAACAAATTGTCGGATGACATACAAACTCCATCATGGCACCAATCTTAGCACCTTGCTCCTTCTTATACCGCGCAATGGCTTGACTTCCCAGTAGCCCGCCCTCTTCAGCTGCATACCAGTGGAATTCCACAGGCCCATCCTTGGGCGTGTAGCCATTCTCGGCCAGAATGCGGAAGGCCTCGAGGATACTGACAGTGCCAGAGCAGTCATCGTCAGCACCAGGCGCGGGCAACAGCGGAAAGAGATAGTTGGCCGAATCTTGGTGCGCGCCAATAATGGTCAAAGGTTGAGAAAAGCTGCGGACTTTAGGCTCGAAGCGTGCGATAATTGAAGATTGGGGGAAGGGGTGGGTGAAGTATTCGAGAGAGATGTGGGTGCGGAAAGGCGAGTTGGAGATGATCTTGGTTCAGTAAGTTCATGCCCAAGGATTGTGGCTGTAGGGGAGGAAATACCTCAGCAATATGGTCGTGCAGCCATTCAGAGCTCTGTTCGCCGTGAAAGTCACCGTAATATCGGTTGTAGTAGGAGGTCATGTGCTGCAGGACATCGTGCATTCGTTGCGTCTCAATTTGCGAGAACAGCGGTTTCACGAGACCTTTATGGGACAGCTTGGGAAGGTCTGAGGGGGTTAGTCTAACAAGAATTACTGTGCCAGACAGGAAGACTTACTGGGATCTCCAGAAACCGAAGCCATCGCCTGCTCCGCGTAAAAGTCCTGATGGTCGGTGATGTCTACGAACTTCTGACCGCGTTGGCGGAGGCGCAGCTTGTCGCCTTCAGTCATCCATTCCGCCTTCTCTTCGCCCCGAATATGCAAGAGACGAGGTTCAGCCAGAAGAGCTGCAGTTTCAGGACGTAAAGACACCATAGCAGCAACTGGGTCGGAATAAGTGTTCAAGGCCGAGACGATGGCCTCGTCCACGACGTGTTCGCCGAGTGTAGTCTTTGGGACCTCGCGATCCGCGGCGAAGACTACTTGCGAGTCTGGCTGCGGGTGCGGGGAAGCCAAAGCTCCTGCAGTGCTCCAGAGGAGTAGAAGATGGGATGTTCTCATGATCACAACCAAGTTGCGGCGGATATTTAGGTGCTGTATCACGGCCCTGTGAGCTGTAAAATGTTGAGTCAGGCTTGTGGAGGAAGAGGAGAGATAAGAGGGTAAATAAGCTCTCCGGCGGCAAGGGACAAAGCAGGCAACGGTCGGGCCTGGCTAGCGCCCGCCGGAGTCCGGAACCGCGCTATTTGCTGGGGGGCAGCCTGAAATTTGGGGAAACTTGGTGCCTGTCATTTTCAATTGCCAGGCATAAATGTGGTTCCTTATCGGTGGATCCAACCTTCAAGAGTCAATAATGCCACCATCTGGCGAAATCACCTTATCGAAGTGACTCATGCTTTACGGATTGAGTTGCTTAATTTCAGCATAAGCACTAGTTATGCCAATAGTGTCATATGAGAATGCTCGTGGCTCGAGCGTTTTGTTCACTCCATGCCATTGATCGCTTCATCTTGCCATCTCTTGCTGCAACATCTCAAGTGACTGACAGCTACTAACTATACTATAGAATTGCGATAGGTTATAACTTACATGGAATGAGTTATAAAGTCGCTTCGAAATCACCCAATGGCTTTGGGTATTGGCCTAATGAAAGCTGTCCACATACTCTTAGTCGCTTGGCAGGCTATCCAATCGTGTGTGGGAAATGCCTCGTTTTCTTCAATTGCACAGACATGAGGCTTGCAAGCAAATATTCGTTTATTCAGCCATAAACATTGGAAGCATATAGCAATGCCGAAGTGCCCGAGAAGGAGCCTATTTCAATTTCGCTCTCGTGCAATGCGAGATTCATCGCGAGACATATCAGTGCCCAAGATGCATCAACAAGAAAATCTCCTTTCGCCAATGCACAGGCTGAAAGGGGTCTTGAAATGAGGTCAGCTCGAACAAAGAGATCGGCTGCAACTAATCACTACACAGCTTTGAAGCCAGCCAAGTCCCGACGGTGGCCGGCAATGCACTGGGTCTCGACGCTTCTACTCCACAGTCTTCTGCTTCTCATGGCGATGGCCATCTCCTTCTGTAGCAGAACGTATTGAAGGCTTGCACAAGTCATAGCCCATCGAAAATTGCTCTACCTTAGTTACCGTCACTGGTTTGACTGATTTTTCTCTAGATACAGCACTGAGAAAATCGACTTCCAGGATACAGATAATTTCATACATAACGAGCAGATTTACATAAGTATTGAAGCAGTGGAGCTTCATCTTGTTGGTGTTGAGATGCCGTTTGAAGCCCAATGGGTACCACAGTTGGCTGAGCTGGAGCCATGGGACTGACAGCAGCGAGTGGAACTGCTGGCCGCATCCTCGGCAGCCAAATCCCGCCTTCCATTAATTGCACCCTGGACACTTCCATCCCTTCTCAACTTTCATACACAGCCTCACTCGTTTCGCCTGTTGCGATATCTACTTTTACTGTTAAGTGGACCCGACAGGTTGAGTTTCATCTGGCGGGTGGAGAGACTAACAGAAGCTAAGGGTAGTGCCTCTTCTCCCCTCCGATCGGCCCCTCTCTTTCTCGCCGCTGAACCTCCCCGATCTCTCTCACCGCATCCAGGGGCTGGGGAGCATTGAGCAATTGTTGCCCGTCTTATTCCCGACCTCCATCTGTGCTTCCTGCTTTTATTGTCCTTGATTCATCATGTCGCGAATGTGGGAGGTCGATCCGGAGACGAGGGCCAAGGTATGCCATCGTCACCCCTCCATCTTCTGTTTCTGCCACTGCCTCCGCGTCCACGTCGGAGCCTTGGACAACACACACTGACTTCCCCGGAACTGCTCTCTTCTCTAGCTCCTCCAATTCTCCAAAACCAATGGCAACGATAAATGCTGCGACTGCGGCGCCCCTTCGCCTCAATGGGTATGAATCCTCCATCCTCAGACGTGCGCGGCACTCTCGCCACGATTCGCGCAACCGTACCTACCAACGATACGCCCACATACAACCATCACTGACACACACTTTACAACCAGGCATCTCCTAAGTTCGGTACCTTCATTTGCCTGAACTGCGCCGGCACACACCGTGGCCTAGGTGTTCACATCTCCTTTGTCCGCTCCATCACCATGGACGCCTTCAAGACTTCCGAGATTCTCCGCATGGAGCACGGTGGCAACGAGCCGTGGAAGGATTTCTTCGATTCCCATCCCATCACGCAATCCGAAGGTCGCACATTCGAAGATTCCACCATTAAAGAGAGATACGAGGGCGAAGTTGGCGAGGAGTGGAAAGAGAGACTGGCTGCGAAAGCCGAAGGAAGAGAATACGTTCCGGGCCAACCCAAACCGCAGCAACCGAAGAATAAGGAACCTATATCTCGGTCGAGCACGCCCCTCGCTGCCCGGACCGGATCCCCAGCATCGCATGACGGAGTGCCGGAGATGAGCAAGAAGGAACGCAACGAGGCGTATTTTGCTCGGCTGGGTAACGAAAACTCCTCGCGCTCGGAATCGGTACCTCCATCGCAGGGAGGCAAGTTTACCGGATTTGGGGGCGGAATGCCGGTTACAAACACACCCAAACAGTCAGGTAGCGGGGCGGCAATCCCAGGATTCGATGATTTCCAGAAGGATCCCATGGGTGCGTTGACGAAGGGCTTCGGATGGTTTGCAACGACTGTAGGGAAGAGCGCGAAGACAGTCAATGATTCGTACATCCAGCCTACGGCAAAGACGGTACGTTCTCATTCATCTTTCATTTCCATTCGCTATGGGCCAGTAACTGATGACCTCTTCACCTTCTAGATAGCAGAATCCGACCTTGCAGCACAAGCGCGCGTTCACGCCGCCACCCTCGGCCAAAACATGCAACACGGCGTCCGTGGCGCAGCGGACCATTTCCATCGTTTCGTGGAAGGACCCGACGAAGCTGCAGCGGCAGCCGCGGCACGGAGAGGCCGTGTTGAACCGGAGAGGAAGGATTTCTGGGACTCGTTTTCTTCGGTTGCAGCGCAGGATAGCCACCGGAGGACCGCATCCAGGTCGAGTGCCATTGGCACTGCGGCAATGAAGACGGGGCCTAGTGGTGCTGGCGCTCCTTCGACTTCGTCTGCGGCTGCGTCGTCCGCAACAACTGG